TTGTCTTGATTGAGCGGCGATTTACCTGCTGCTGCTGCTCCTACTGAAGCATCAAATGACCAGTGATGTTTTGTCAGATCGTTAAAGTGGTGTGTGTGTGGGCTTTTGTGTGGTGATTCCCAACTTGTTTAAAACGGTTTTGTCTGCTGGAACCTTTTTTAATAATGCAGCAGCATCAGCAGCAGCAGTTTGACAAAGTTGATCTCTTTTACTATTGTGATTTACTAATTGAATAATTTATTTATTTAGTTCTGACGATGTCCAAGCTAAGAGAGCAAGGACCCTCTCTCTTTTAGACTGTTTTCTGCTTCAGCTGTGCTGCTGCTGATTTGACTTTTGATGACACACAGACACTAACTTTTAGTGTAAAGTCTCTCGATCTCTTTTCACGCATTTGATCCGCTCACTTGAATGTGCTGCTCCTTCTGCTGCTGCTGCTGTCCCTCATGTGTCATTTACATTTCTGGCCATTTCATCGACTTTAGAACAGCGGCATCGAGTTAGAGTAGTAGACAGCTTTAGAGTTGGTGGTCTCAATTTGCCCAGTGTCCCTCTCTTCTTTGCTTGACAGACCAAGAGAGTGGTCCGAGTCGATTTCACTGTCCATTACGGACGACAGCAGCAGCAGCAGCAGCAATTGTCGTGGCGATAAAGTCATCGTTGAAAACAGACAGACAGACTGACTGAGCTGGCGCAAATTCAAATGATTGCTGCAGCAGAACTTTGGTGGCTGGAGAATTTAAATTTTTTTACTACCAGTTTGTTTGCCAACAACATCAAAGCTTTCTGAGCTTGAAGAAGATGAAGTTGCGCGCCGCTTTTTGCAATTCTTTTTGTCAGCGTGGTAATTAATTTGAGTCCCACTGCATAAACTGGCGATGTTCGTTCGACTGAAAGAAGAAGAGGAACTGTGGAGTTCTTTCTTCTTCTTCAGCTCTCGCTCAGCTCCCACTTAGCAGCCGAGCAACACCAACACACCAAATTCGATACAATGTTGCTCAGCTAGTTCAAATTAGGATGCCAGGGTGGCAGTATTTATTTTACTACTGCTGTCGTTTTTATTTGCCTAAATGGTTATTACACCACTGCTGATGCTTGACTTTAGTGTACTTCACAAGTGTCTCTCGGTGGAATGGAGCAGCATTTGTGAGCTGCAGTTAGTTTTTTTTCATTTCACTCACTCACTCATGCTACTGTTACAACTGTTATTCGGAACTGGCAGTCCATTTGCCAAATGAAGTAGTGAGAGTGAGCGAGTGGTAGAGTTGCACAATGCTCATTTGTTTGCTGCACTGAACTGCACTGAACTGAACTGATTCTCTCCACTCAACCCATTGAACACACACACTGGCTGGCAAGAGGCAATTGGGCAACTCGCAGCGATTAGGTAATTAGATTATTATTATTACGATTGCTGCTGTTGTGTTGCCGTTTTGATAGCCTCTANTGACTGGCTGGCAAGAGGCAATTGGGCAACTCGCAGCGATTAGGTAATTAGATTATCATTATTACGATTGCTGCTGCCGTTTTGATAGCCTCTAGGTCAATTGATTCGATTAGCAGAGTGAGATATTGAACAGAGCTGTTTCTGCTGGTGCTTTTGGTGGCAAATCAATCACACCAAAGGATTCTTTTGCTCTGCGGCCAGTGGCCACAAGCAGACAGTCGGGCAGGCCATCTGCCGTCTGGTAATCCGTTTGGACCATAAATTGAAATTTATTGCAGCCACCAGTCGTCTGCAGAGATGTTTACCCTCTCTTCCTCTTCCTCTTTTCTCTTCCTTCGTTACCGGACACTGAATGTGCACCGCACACCGATCATGCACACCACTTACTTTGCCCATCATATGAATCAGTTAGAAGTGCAGTAGCAGCAGCAGCAGCCGAAACCAGCGCCAATCATGGCGCAATTACCAGTCGCTAGACTTTTCCTAACAACTCTTTAGTCCAAATGTGTGTGTGTGTGTGTGTGTGTTTGGCCAATAATTCTGGCAGTTTATGTTGCGTAAGAGAACGACTGCTAACGCTGACTGACTGGCTGCTGCTGTCGCGCCCGAGTTGGCACGCCGCAGCGAAAGAGAGTGAGAGCAATGACAATGGCAGATGGAACTGCTTCGACTGCAACTGCAAACTCGGACTCCTCGGAATCGGTCGAATGCCTTTTGCTCTCTCTCAATCTCTGCTTTCCACTTTCTGAATTCATCTAATTGCAATTAATTCGAAATTAGAGCGCTTTCGCTAATTTCGCAGCTTTCGCCTTTTGTAATTATTGCGCGAACGGGCTGCTGCTGGCTGCACGCGTCTCTCTTTCTCTGGCGCCACTTGGAACACCACTTTTAAAACTTGGTGGTGGTAGCAGCTCTGATTCTTTTCTTTTCTCTTTGACAGAATACAAAAATTTTGTTCCGGTGAGTGCTGCTGCTGCTGCTGCTGCTGCTGTGTCTGCAATTAGCGCACTAGTCAAACTTGGTTTTCCTTTCCATTGATGATGAAGATGAGGATGAGGATGAAGATGAAAGGAGCAAAGCACCACCGACTTTCATTAGCAAACAGCGTTTTGCAGAAGTGTCGAACAAAGCGAATGGAAATCTGCAAATCCGCTCGCACTCGCTCGTTTGCACCAAGATTTGGCAAATTTGAATACTTTCCTAATTAATCTTACTTTACACTTTCAACTTGTGTTGGCTTCGCCTTTGGTGGCAACACATTGTGATGTGTCTGTGTCTCTCTGTGTGTTTTGTGGTTTCTTTCATTTGCCTTTTCTTTTCTCGAGTTTTTACTAATTACTCTGTTTCTTTTTTGCCATTTTAATTCTTTAGCTCCTCGATTCAGAGGAGATCTTCACAGAACTGTTGTTCTGTTGTTTCATTGCGCAAAATACATCGCATCATTTTGACACATTTGACATCAGTTCTTGCTAATGCGATTAGCATTTAGGAGAGAGAGAGAGAGAGAGAGAGCCAAGAAGAAGCGATTTTCTATTTGTTTTAATTAGACGATGATGGCTTGTTTGGCACCACCACCACCACCACAACCACAGACACAAACAACTCGCTACAGCAAAAAAAAACAGACAGACAGACTGTTGACTTAGGACTCGGCGATCCGATTATTATTATTGCCAACACCAGTAGCAGCAGCAGCAGCAGCAGAAAGTGAAAGGGTTGAACAGAAAAGCTTTGCCGAAGGAGACCGAGCTGTTATCCTCGTTTGCATTTGCATTTTTGCCCCCGTTTCACAGTTGCAGACTTCTATTGCTCTACTTTAGTTCGGACGATTTTAACAATAATAAATCATTAGCAAAGAGAGAGAGAGAGAGAGACCCATTCTCTGCACCATTCTCCTATGATTAATTATTGTGTGTCTTCGGTGGCCAGTCAGTCAGTCACCGAGACCTAAACAGCACTTTAGTCTGGCGCATCTTTCCACCATCATCCCCTCCTTTTTCTAGGCGTAATTAATTTGTTCAAGCCATTAGCAACTTTGCGAGCTGATGATGAGCTGTGGTTTTGTGGTGGCAAGCAGCAGCAGCAGCAGCAGCCATGAAGCTGCGCTGATCAGTTTAAAGCTGTGTGTGTAATCAAGTTAATGAGTAGCAGTTGCAGTTTTCCAATGCGAAAAGCATCATTTTCCGTAGACAGAGTGGCCCAAGTGGGACAGCTGATTTTGATTAATGATTACCCCACCATCGCTTTGCATCGATTTGCCCATACTTCTGCCGAACTTCTGTCTGTCTGTGCGCGCGTTTCAATTGCCTTTTTCTCTGCTATTCTCGATTGATTCGCAGAACTTTTGGCCTAATTGATTGAGGCTCATTGAGCACACAAACACTGGTCAATTGTAAAATTTGCGGTTATTTCTCCGCTTGTTTCATTTTGGTTTTTGGTTGTCATTTCTATCAGAAAGTGCTTTTGTGTTTGAGCTTGCACTACTAAACTAGTAGTACTAATACTAGTCCCCCACCTCGTACTCGATCTCGTCCAGGGATGGCGCTTCTTTTCCGTTAACCGAAAGCGTAGCTCTATTTTCGAAAACGGGAAGCACTTTTATTTATTCAACGGGAATTACATTGAGGTTATGTTTATGAAAAAGATTTTTTGTTGAGTAGTACAAAAAAGGTTAGCAGCAGCAGCAGCACATCAATCCGATGATGATGATGATGATTATTGTGATGATAACTTCTTCTTATTCACATCCCCACCTCNCGGCCGCATCAGCCTCACCGCCGCCCGAAAGGCCACGGTAATCTCGCTCAGATGCCGCCTCAGCCGTCCGGTCAACTGCCTGATCTTCGCCTCACTCATCCGCAGCTCTTCGTGGTTGGCGCCATTTCGCCGCTGGCCGATGGTCTCCGCCGCCGCCAGCTGCTCCAGCAGGTCGTGCAGGCCGGGGAAGAAGACCGTCGTGTAGAAGTCAGAGGCGGGCGTGCCCAGCAGCAGATTTCGAGTGTCCGGTCGGCCGTAGAGAGGTGCTCCAGAGGAGGAGGAGGTGAAGACCTTTTCCACCTGAACTGAGACGTCATTTATGGAGCGCACCAGCAGAGGATCGAGGGAGAAGTTTTTCGATGCCTTTTCGGTGAACTGGTGCCAGGCGGTGCTCGCATTGCCAAAGTCGACGATGGACGCCTCAAAGAGGTCGATGGCCTCCTTTAGTTTGCCGTTCTTTTCATCAGCGGTAGTAGTAGTTTCTTTAGCCGGGCCTAGCCGGGCCCGCAGTCGGGCGCCCAGGCCCCGGGCGGCGTAGTCCGCCTGCAGCTGCTCGGCCAGCTCGTCGAAGCGGGCTGGGAGCAGTGTGGCACTGGAGAGGGAGTAGAGGAGGACGGAGAGGAGTCGGGCGCAGGACTGGTGGGCGCGGAAGGCGGGGTCGACGTGGCCGGCCACCAGGTTGAAGGTCTCGTAGGCGGTGTGGTAGGCGGGGTAGCTGGGCACGGGTTGCTTCTTCTGTTTGGGTGGAAGGTTTTGGGGGTTAGATTTGGTGATTTGAAAAAGAGGTTTTCGTTACCTTGTCTGGCTTGAACTCGACGTTGATGGAGGGCACGCCCGCCCAGAAGGTGAAGGGCACCTGGTCGGAGCCGGAGCTGAGGAGGTCGATTCTGAAAATGAAGAATTTTAGTTTTTGATATTTTTGGGTTTACACTTTGACGTACTTTAGCTTTTGACTTTCATCGTTTTCTTTGCCTTCATTCTCTTCTTTCCTCTCTGCCGCCAGACTTTCCGCCCAGCTGTCGTACAGCGTTTTGTTGGCTTTCAAAGTTTCTCCTTCCTCCTTCTCTTCTTCAGGGTTGATTGGGTGCGCCGGCACTCGCCTTGTGGCCGCCCGCAGCGCCTCCATCAACGTCGGCGAGGCGTCCGCCCGCAGCACCGGCCCGCTGACGCAGGTATCCGCATTGATGTAGGCGACCGCCCTGGCGCCCATCAACTGGGCGCCGGCGAACTCCTCGACGAACTCCGTCGAGCCGATCAGTCCCTGCTCCTCGCCGGACCAGCTGGCGAAGACCAGGGAGCGCCGAGGGCGCCATCCGGTGCGGCGGTGGTGCCCTCCAATCGCCTTGACCGCCTCAAGCAGGGCGGCGCCCCCGCTGGCGGCATCCATCGCCCCGAAGCCCCAGGCGTCGCGGTGGTTTCCCGCCACCACGTAGCGGTCCGCCTCGAGGGCGCCATCGAGGACGCCCACCACGTTGTAGATGGTCCGCTCCACCAGCTCGTTGTTGATCACCATGCGAATGGCTCTGAAAAAGAAAGGATAAAAATTGGGTATGAGAAAGGATTTTAGCTACGGTAATCTAATTAGTGCGAGAGCTGTGTTTGTTGGTTGGTGCTGGTTGGCTATGTTGTGTTGTGTCCACGTGTGAATGGCAAGCAAATTACTGCCGTTACTCCAGCACCAGCA